AACATTCCTTCAGATGAATTTCACATCTGGATTCTGAGCAAATTTTTGTTCTCACTATTACTCTAATTTCATCCTTTATGAACAATACCACCCCCACTCCTACTATATCTTCCACTCTGAAAGATTTGACTTTAACCAGATATTGCTTTCTAGTGCTGTCTGTAGGTTGAGAAATTCAATAAAATACAATATTCCAGACAACTGTGCCACAATAGAACAACATTCAAATTCCTGCCCTCATTTCCTTACATTTGAATTCTATGGTTTCACCCAGATAACAATAATGGCATCATGGCCAAGCTTGCACTGGCCCATTCCTAAACATCTCACCTTGTGACTAATGGGATATCATGAAAGGCACAGTAGGTAAAAGAGATCTTTCAAGAAAATGTAGAGCATTTGAATCTTCATAAAAGACTTTTCCGTTAAATATTTTTAAAAAATTCTCTAGTTACCAATAGTTACAAATACTTTTTATAAAATTAATCAACACGATGTGGGCTTTGCTGGCTGGAACAGCATTTATTGCTCTCCTTGGTTGCCCATGAGAAGTTGGTGGTGTGTGTAACAACATGTTACTCTGATTTTGTACACAACACTGATTTCCACTATAAAAACAGAAATTGCTGGAAAAGTTCAGCAGGCCTGGCAGTATCTGAGGAGAGAAATCAGAGTTAACATTTCGGGTCGAGTAACCCTTCCTCAGAACTGCGTCCTTACAAAGGGTTTCGGCTCGAAATGTTGACTTTCCTGCTCCTCGGATGCTGTCTGACCAGCTGAGCTTTTCCAGCTCCACATTTATTACCGAGTGCCACATTATTAAGCAAAATTTCACTTCTGTGGGATGCATATTTCAAAATATTCTCACTAAATACGGTTTTAAAGAAAAACTGGCAGAACAGACAAGATATTCCAGCTTCTTGTCCACTGATAAACTTCATTTTTACTTTCTTTTTAAATATAAAATGGTTCACGTTATGTGGGCAATGCAAGTTCATCAAACATCAATCTTCAGAAAAAGAGAGACAAGGGCATGCTCAGTCGTGACTAATTAATTATGAAGACAATCTTTATTGGATTGGAAAGTGCTGACTGGAAATTGCAGTGCCTCCTCTTAAAAGAGCTGGGAAGGGTTAATAATAATACTTGTCATCAATAGTTATTCTTGAATCATTGGATGATCCTAGAAGCCTGCAGTAGGTTTCAAGTTCAGTCATCTGAAAGCAAGCCACAACTGGCCTCTGGTGATTCAATCCCTCAAATTTCAGGTAGCCACCTTCTGTGACTTTTTCTCTGCTTAACTTTGTAGGCTCATCCAATAGAATAACCGCCCTAAATTGTTTATTCCTCCAAGTTTGGTCTGCAGTGTACTTTCCGTTCCCAGCATGAGCAGCCCTGATTTCACCCACTGAGGCTCCATATTGTGGAATTCCCATCTTAAATCCCTCCACCTTGCTCCTTCCTTAAAATTCTTAATTCCTATCTCTTCAACTAAGCACTTGATCACTTTTCTAAGTCCCCTTCCTAGCCTCATTGCCTTTTTGTTAATTCATTATAATATTTTCCGCATTCCTTTTATTCATCCAAGGGGTGTGGGCATTGTTAGCAAGGCCAGTATTTATTGCCCATCTTTGATGCAGTGAAGGTGGTGATGGTGAACTACCTCTTGAACCACTATAGTCTTTGGGTGTAGGGGCACCCACAACGCTGTTATAAAGAAGGGAGTTCCAGGATTTTGACCCAGCAACAATGAATACAGGAACATAGGAATTAGGAGCAGAAGCAAGCAATTCAGCCCTTCAAACCTGCTCCACCATTTAAAATGATCATGACTAATACTATCCTGGTCTCAACTCCACTCTCCCGACTGCTCCCCATAGCCTTTTATCTCACATTTCTTCAGAAACATATCTATTTCTTTCTTGATTCTGCGTCCACTGCGCTCTGGGGCAGTGAGTTCCACAGATTCACTACCCTCTTAAGGAAGTAGTTTCTCCTCATCTCAGTTTTGAACCTACCACCTCTTACTCTATATCTATGACCTCTCATTTGAGACTGTCCCGTAAGGTATGTTCAACTTCCTTATCAACCCCTTTTAACATTTTATATATGTCAATCAGATCCCCTCTCATTCTTTCTGAACTCCAGGTGAGTACAAGCCCAAGCTATTCAGCTGCTTCCCATACAATTGTCCTTTCATCCCTAAAATCAAACTGTTGAACCTGCTCTAGATGAAGGAAGGAATCGCAATATAGTACCCTGTCAGGATGATATGTGACTTGGAGGGAAACATGCAGGTGGAGGTGCTCCCTTGCATCTGCTGCACTTGTCCTTCTAGGTGGCAGTGGTCATAGGTTGGGAAGGTGCTAAGAAGCCTTTGAGAATTTTGAAAGAGCATCTCATAGATGGTACATACTACTGCCAACGTGTGCCATGGTAAAGGAAGTGATGTTGAAGGTTGCGTTTCGGGTGACAATGAAACATATTGTGGTTGGTTGGCTCGCCGAGCTGGATCGTTGTTTTTCTGCAGAACCAGCTCGGCGAGCCAACTAACCACAACGTCCACATACCAAGCTACAAATCTACTCTAAAACCTTAATGAAACATGTTGTTTTGCCCTGGATGCTTCTTGTCTTTTGGATAAGTACCCATCCAAGCAAATGGAGATTATTCCAACATATATGTGGCTTGTAGATGGGAAATGGAAGCAAGTTACTTGTTGAGTTCCAAGTCTGTGACCTACTTTCATAGCCATAATATTTATATAACTGATCCAGTTTGGTTTCTGGCCATTGGTAACTCTCTATGTTGAAAGTGGGGAATTCAGTAGTGATAATGTCATTGAATGTCAAGGGGCAATATTTAAGGCTTTTCTTGTTGTCGATGGTTATTCATGTCACCCAAGTGCCAGGCAATGTTACTTAGCACTTATCAGGTCAAGCCAAGATGCTATCCAGGTCTTGCTGTATATGAAGACAGACTGTCTCAGTACCTGGGCAGTCACAGATGTCACTGAACAATGTGCAACCATCAGCGAACATCCCCACAGCTAACTTCATGGTGGATGGAAGCTGTTGGATAAAGTTGTTATGTAAATAAAGTTATTGCTGCACCAGTATTCTCACCAACAGTCTTTACTTAAAAAAAATTGTAAGGAAGCTTGAAGGTACTAAAATAGTCATAAGACAGGACATGTTTCAACCTAGCTCACCTTCTACTGTCAAAGGTAGATATCTAATACCACACAAATGGAATAATTCTCTAATTTTTTCTTTATTTATTCACAGGATGAGGGCATCACCAGGCAGCATTCGTTCCCATCCCTAATTGCCCAGAGGGCAGTGAAGAGTCAACCACATTACTATAGGTCTGGAGTCATATCTAGGCCAGACCAGGCAAGGACAGCAGTTTCCTTCCCTAAAGGACATTAATGAACCAGATGGGTTTTTCCTGACAATTGACAGTGGATTCATGGCCATCAGTAGACTCTCTAATTCCAGATATTTATTGAATTCAAATTCCACCATCTGCCATTAACTTAAAGAGGAGAGGAGAAAATGGAACAAAGAAAACTGTAACAGAGATCATCATTTAAAACCTACTCTGCTGTAACCTTTCATTTATCACAAGTTCATCTTCGCTTAGCAATATAAATTTTCGCAAGTTTAGAAATTCTATAATTCATACTAACCTGGTGAACCATACTCATGTCTAGGTAGGCGGCAGATTTTAGGCATCACTTCCATTAAAGTCTTCACATATTGCAAGATGGTTCCTTGTAGCTGAGATTAAACATGTAGAGTGGTTTCTGTTAATACAACAGCAGCAATGCATTTTTGTAAATCACAAACATTTAATTTATTCATTAGGCCTTGGTTATTACACAGAGAATGAAGAATCTCTGAACAGTTTAATTTCTTAATTTCTACCTCCTAATTATCTAAAAAGAATTTTGAGTACTCAGCATAGCATTGCAAATACAAACACTTTCCTTTGCCTCACGATTCTCTCCATATCTTCCTAATTCAAATGTTTGATGTCATCGACAAACAAAAGAAGAACAAACTTTAATTAAATTTGTATGCAGTCTTAAAGTAGAACATCTTTAAAGGATTAAATGCAACAATCAAACTACCTGTTCACATTTTGATATTGATTAATTTCAATGCATTAATATTTCACAATCACAAATTAAGTTTTGCTACTTCAAATCAAGTCAGATAAAAATTGGGATTTGTATCAAGTTAAAACTCTAAGTAATTCTACAGGCGAAACTGTGCAACTGAGGCTTTAGTGTGATCAAATTTCTAGAACAATATAGTAGCAGTTATCATAACACCGAAGCAAATCATTTAGCCATGAACTCTACACCAAGGTGCATCTCCACCTAATCTGAGCCCACCACTTTGCTCATTTCACACATAGTGTATTTTCTTCTCCCTTACCAAGCAACTGCTTAATTCCTTCCAAAGCCAGGTGAGATTGTGGTGGTGATGACAAGGAAATTTTATATTTAGTGGAACATAGATTTCAGTGATTATTATCAAATGTGTCTTATTCTTGACTTTGGAATAAAATATCAAATGTGGTTAAACTCCAACTCAGCAAAGGGTTGCTACGTTCTGGCCTGAATTAGTCAATTTCTGTTCTAGTCCCAGGCACTGCCAAATTTATATGATAGCCTCCTTGAATGAGCCTACATGCAGACAGATTTCTAAATTTAGTCCATGTCAGAACAATTGTCAAAAACCTTGCATCTAATAATGCCAATATTGAGTGCTATGTAATGGAATAATACTCCAATTTAAGAATTGCTAATACAATCTATTTGTTTTCTTCCACTTTTCAACCTGATTACGGTGATCTTTATCTGATAAGGAAGAAGCATAAGTAAACATTGAAAAACTTGTGACAGATTGTGATCTGTTGTGCATTCAGGATAATGGGCCATCACATCTTGAAAAAATGCTTTATAATTAGTCAGAAACGGAAAAGGAGAGATAGAATGTACTCCATTATATAAAACACAACCAGAGGCTGACCATGTAACTGTTTTAAGGGGTTTCCTTTAGCATATTAAAGATTACTTGGAACTGCAAAAGCCATTTGGAGATTGAATAATTGTAAAAGATTCAAATAGTAACAGTCCAATTTTACAAAATATACTTACTAGGCTTTTAACAACTTTCAGCAGTTCCTCCATTACCACAGCAATTCCTTGATAGCCGAGAAGCTTGCAAATCGCTCTAAAATGTGGAGGGCCCACAAAATTTTTGTAGTTGCTGTAAATACTGCTGTAAGCCAAGTTCAATGCCTGCAAATAAATATATAATGATAGTGACTGTGACATGATCATCAATTGTTGTAAAACACATCTGGCTCATTAATGTCCTTTAGAGACAAAAATCTGTCTTCCTTCCCTGGTATGGCCTACATGTTTCTCCAGCCCCACAGCAATATGATTAGCTTTAGCCCTCTGAAATAGCCTAACAAGCCATCCAGTTCAAAGACAACCCTTGGAAATAAAGAATGTCCATCAGCCTTTTTGTTTGGCACAACATAAAACAAAGGCATATCATTTCAATTGTATAAAGAATGTATAATTAATAAAGACCGATCACTGGAGTAATGTATGAAGTACCAAAATGTTCCGCAGCTAATGCATTACCTACACATATGCAATGTTTTTTTACTGCAAACAAACACAGAAATTCAAATGATTTTTAAAACAACTATAAATTAGAGGAAGATGGTGTGAATTCAGCTGACTACAAAATTTGATGTAAAATGAAGTTTTTAGTCCCATTCAAATTTACAATCAACGATCCAAACAGTTTAAAAAGCTATTATTTTATCATTAATTGGCTATGTCTGTCTGAAAAACTAAAATGATGTTGTATGCTGTCAACATAGCTCAACAGTAGAATCTTCATCTCCAAATCAAAAATTCATGAGTTCAAGTTGGACTCCACGAAACTGGATACAAAATGTACAATGACACTTCAGTGGACTACATGTGGAATGGTTCACTGTTGGAAGCGCAGTCTTCAAGATAAGACATTAAAATACTGCCACTTTTCCAGTGCACTTAAAAGATCCAAAGGCTCAAAAAACAGGTAATTTTTCTTTGTCCCCGCACTAACATTTATCCCTCAACCAAATATCACCATATGCAAGGTTTAACTTTATTTAATCGTTCATAGTCAACATCTTCTGTTCTTAGATGCTTTTTGCCAACATAACCTTAAGTAACACGGATAACAATATCTACAAGTGAGGTCACCCGAGGGATAGTTCTAGAAATTGACATTTAAAAGGTGGCCGCAGGATGTCCGCATGACGAATGTGGTGAGTGATCCAGCATCATTACGTCAACATAAAAGATGACATCAACAACAGAATGCACATTCATCCTGGGAGCCCGAAGATAATGATTTCCCACATTTGAAAGAAAATGAAAATCCGGCAAAAATGATTTTATTTTCTTAATCCATCATTCCACTTCACAAAGAAAGAATTAGCCACAACAGACGTGCCAGTACAGCATAAGCAGCATCTGATTCACTATATTGCACTTGAAACGGAGGCTTGCATGATTTGCTAATCATAAAATCCATGCAAACTTTTTAATGCAGATTGTTAATGTATTAAACTTACAGGCAAGTAATATAAATGATTTAAGCACTTACTGTCAAAAGGGTTTTACACAGCTCCATGTTACATATCTTGAATAAGATTGTTCCATCAATCTTTAAATTTAACTATGAATTTACAAATTTATTGAGTATCGATCTTGAAAGCAACAAAGTCAACTGATAAACAACCAACTTGCCAAACATTGTCTGCATAATTTAATAATGATACAATCTTTTTAAAGATACAGAAGAGAAATTACAATAACCATGTTTGTAATAGTGGATTGAAAATAAATACTTCAGTTACAAAGTTAAAATAATTCAAAAAGGTTCTTTAAAAATGATATGAATATCAAATTTGAACAAAAATGTGAAATAATCAAAGACACAAAATAGTTATAGGCTATTAATGAAGGAGGACAGCATAAAGTGTGAATAGGGTGCAAGGATGAGGGGGAAGGGAAGCTTGGCACAGGACAATGTGAAAATAACGACACAAGAGGAGTATGGCTGAGCATGCTCCTACAGTACCCTCCTCTCCAGAGGCCACGACGGGTCTGTTCCCCTCTCCTGATACAAAAATGGTCGAGAGTGGAAAATTGGATTCGTGGTCAAGGGCAAAAGGGCTGAAAAATGGCAGATGGAGTTCAATCTGGATAAATGCAAGGTATTGCATTTTGCTACAACAAACAGGGGCAGGACTTATACAATTAATGTTAAGACATTGGGTAGTGTTGTAGAACAGAGGGACCTAGGGGTTCAGGTACATAATTCTTCGAAGTTTGCGTCATAGGTAGAGAGATGGTTAAAAGGCATTTAGCATGCTTGCCTTCTTTGCTCAGTCCTTTGAGTAAAGGAGTTGGGAAGTCATGTTGAGGTTGCACAGGACATTGGTGAGGCCTCTCCTGGAGTACTAAATAAAAACCGAAAGAACTGTGGATGCCATAAATCAGGAACAAAAACATAAGTTGCTGGAAAAACTCAGGTCTGGTAACCCTTCCTCAGAACTGATGGTGGCTGGGAAAACGTCAGTTTATATGCAGAAAATAGGGAGGAGGTAGGGTAGGGAGTAAACGATAGGATAGAGCCCAAAGAGGGAGAAGAACAGCTGGACAGACAAAGGGGTTGATAACGATCCGGCTGGGAGGATGAATAGTTGTTAATAGAAACTGTTAGTGACTATGACAGGTGGTGTGTAATGGTATGTGATAACAAGGGCTAGGGGCTAGGACATGGGAGAGCTTAGCCCCTAAAATTATTGAACTCGATATTGAGTCCAGAGGGCTGCAGGGTCCCCGAGTGGAAAATGAGGTGTTGTTCTCCTGGCTTGCATTGAGCTTTGCTGGAGCACTGCAGCAAGCCAGACACAAGAGATGTTGGCCAGGGAACAGAGTGGTGTGTTAAAGTGGCAGGCAACAGGTAGCTCAGGGTCTTTTTTGCGAGCAGAACATAGATGTTCTGCAAAGCGGTCACCCAATCTATGCTTTGTTTCCCCAATGTAGAGGAGATCGCATTGTGAGCAGCAAATGCAATAGACTAGATTGTGGGAAGTGCAGGTGAAGTGTTGCTTCCCCTGGAAGGTGTGTTTGGGCTCTTGGATACTGGGGAGCAAGGAGGAAGTAAAGGGGCAGGTGTTGCACCTTCGCCGGTAACAGGCGAATGTGCTGTAGTACTGTGGGAGTTGAAGGAAATGTGGACCAGGGTGTCACGGAGGGAACGGTCCCTGCGGAAGGTGGACAAGGGAGGGGAGGGGCAATGTGTGTCTGGCGGTGGCATCTCGCTGGAGGTGGCGGAAATGGCGTCTGATGATCTTCTGGATGTGGATGCTGCTGGGATGGTAGGTAAGGACAAAGGGAACCCTATCACTGTTGCGATATCCTCAACTGAGGATTCCTCGGCACCATTGTCGACAAGGCCCTCAACCGGGTCGGACCCATTTCCCGCACTTCCGCCCTCACCCCATCACTTCCCTCCCACAACAGTGACAGTGTTCCCAGCTACCATCAGTTCCGAAGAAGGGTCACCAGGCCCAAAACGTTAACTCTGATTTTTTCTTCGCAGATGCTGCCAGACCTGTTGAGCTTTTCCAGCAATTTTTTTGTCTTTGTCTTTTCTGGAGTACTGTGTCCAGTTCTGATCACCTAGTTATAGGAAGGATATTATTAAGCTGGAGAGGGTTCAGAAGAGATTTATCAGGATGCTGCCAGGTAGTGAAGGTTTGAGTTATAAAGAAAGGCTGGATAGACTGGGACTTGTTTCACTGGAGCGTAGGAGGTTGAGAGGCAACCTTGTAGAAGTTTATAGCATCATGAGGGGTATTGATAGGGTTAATGGTAGGTATCTTTTCCTTAGGATGGGGCATTTCAAGACTAGGGGGCACATTTTTAAGGTGAGAGGAGCGAGATTTAAAAAAGATATAAGGGGCAATTTTTTTTTTTTAAACACAGAGGGTAGTTCACATGTGCAATGAATATCCTGAGGAAGTGGGGTGTGTGTGCACAATTACCACATTTAAAAGACATTTGGATAAGTACATGAACAGGAAAGGTTTGGAGGGATATGGGCCAGGAGCAGGCAAGTGGGACTCATTTAGTTTGTGATTAGGTTTGGCATGGGCTGGACGGACTGCAGGGTCTGTTTCCGTGCTGTATGACCCTACCACTCCATACCAACTTGACATGTAGGATTGGGGGAGAAAAAAAAATCCAATCCTGCCTTTTTCAAAACTGTTTCTGCAGATTCAATTACTCGCAAGAATGAAAGCAGCTTTCTAGAATCAATCTTGAACAGCTGACTGACATACTTTCAACCAAACACTTTTGAAATCAATCACAAGCAGGCAATCCGGCACTGAGTGTTTTAGCAAAACTGTGCTTACGGCTTGCATATAATGGAGTCAATCAATCTTGGGACTGACTCAGTTTTCATCTTGTATCCACACAATTATTCCAGTAGGGGTAGTGAGATAGCAATCAGCTGAAGGAAAGACAGGCCAAGAGAAGACAAGCTAGATATATACAGGTCAAGGATTGAGCATTCTTGACCTATAAAGCTGAGCCACAGACACCATAGTTTATTCACAAATGTCAGATGACATTTTCTTGCCTCTATGATTTTTGGTACTATTTTTATGTTACCATTTAACATGAGAAACCTCCTATCCAAACAGTTAGAACAGAAATCTTGTTTGTGAACAAATATCTGCAACATTCTATACTTTCACTGAATGCTGTGGAGTGAGACTCTGAACTTTCCTAACAGTTACTAAAACTCAACATCCACAGGCATGTTACTAAATTAATGAAAACCAAAATAATTGTTGAAAATACATAACAAACTAGTCAGCATTTGTAGATTGTGTGTTAAGTGCCTTGTTAACAGCCCTACTCACCTCATTAGTATTCAGCCTCCCATCTTAAACTTTCCAGACAAGCTTGAGATCTGGAAAACCTGACAAGGAAACAACAGCATGCCTCTGGCAGATTCAGCTCACTGCTTGCTTCGAATAACCTCATGTTAGAAACTGAGCATCAGCATCTCAGGGCTTCCCCTGTGGGCACCAACCTCACAAACCACAGACAGCACCTGTCGTGTACTAGCTTCTAATAATACTCACAGTACATCTCTGATCCACTTAGAGTGCAGCACTGAAGTGCAGGATCTAACAACTATCACTGCA